TGGCAGAAAAATGCCTTCCCGCATAATTCAGATGCTGTGTGCTTCAGCCTGCGAATATTTGTAAGGTCGTGTTTCTACTAAAGTTCCATGGTGACTTTCAGCCGCTATGCACCCTACAAGGAAGTATCTTTTGTTACAACACTGGTAAGTACTTTTCACACACACACACACACACACACACACACACACACACACACACACGGGCTCTCTAATGCCAGTCACAAGTGTTTTTATTTTGATCCAACCAAGTTCTTCCCCCTGGTCCTCTTGCCAACCCACGGTGGTTCTGTTTTTTCTTTTGGCCATTTATTGTTTTTTTTTTAAAAAAAATCTGCGTAAAATTTTCTGTAACATGGGCTGCAACTCTCACAAATGTTTATTGAAGGTTTGGGATGATTTGTCATGAGAAACGTCTTCTCTGAAACACGCAAGCCACAGGGCTCCCCTGCAGCACCCTTCTCTAACTCGTGGTTCCTCACTTTCCTTGCATTGACCAGTGTCATTTAGTCCCCATAATCGCTAGGCCAGGTAAAGGAAAGCTATTTACCCTTGAACCAATTTCAGGCTGGCATAGTAAAAAGATGTATCCCAAACTTGCTTTTGCTGCAGAGTGGGGTGGGGAATGATCCTGTAAGACCCAAGAAAAATCACATTAGTATATAATATTCTAACATCAGCCGTTTCTTACAGTGTGATTTGTTCAGTGGGGTCATACTAAGTAAAGGACATTCACTTAGCAAAGATTTGTGTTTTAACTGAGAGAAAACAGCAGTGGCTACCTTGAACAGCAAAGAAATGTGCTAGAGGGAAATTAGGCAGCTTCCAGAATCCGGTTCAGGAAACTTGCCAGCAGCCAGCTGCCACCCTGCAGGGAGCTTCTCGGACCTGCAGCCTGGGTGGGTAGCTGCCTTCCACGGGGCCAGCCCTGCCACGCAGTCAGCCTCCTCGGGAAGACTCACGTCTCCCTCATCTCAAACTCGAGGTTGGAGTTCAAAAGCAGTTTTCCTGGTGACACAATTTTTCCTGGGGGTCTAACACAGCGGCCACTTGCCCTGCGTGGCTACTGAGCATTTGCAGTGTGGCTGGTGTGGTTAGAGGACTGAATTTTACTTTTATTTAATTTTAATTCAAATGAATGTAAAGTGAGCTACTAGTTACCACATTAGGTAACACACACTTACCTGTCAGATCTTCTTGTTCAGGATTACTCAATATATTTTTTTCCAGGAGCTATTTTTCCAAGTGTGAAAAATCCAGAAAACTGAAGCCCAGAGTTTTGGGTTAGAATTCTGTCTCGGACAGTACCTTTCAGTGACCTTCAATATGTTTCTTAGCTCAAATATTTGCGCTTTGTTTGTCTCATCCAAAACAAGGATACAGCAAGTGAATGTAACTCAAGGAGTACACGAATAAATTCATTTAACACACAGAAGAGCATCTTGTACTTTGTAAGCTTCTGCCGCTTGTTGGATTTTATTGTCATTAGCACTACAGGCACAGAGGTGACTTACAATGATTAGCCCAGTGGCTTCTGATCCATGTGAATACATGGACAGGAATGTCTACCATACCACTGAGAGTCCCCATAGACACCTTGAACTTAAAGATGCCCCAGTGATGTGGTTGACACCCACAGCCTGACTCCAAGAAGGACAACCTCTATCTTTTTTGATGGCAAAGAATTTATCCTGCTTTGAAATCCCAACCTTCTGGAAACATGAAGCAAGTTGTTTGATAATAAGGTGTCTGTTTAATAGGCCTAAAGATGAGAAAAATTTGGAAAGTTTTGGATTTAGGGTAGAGAATGTGGAAATACACACAGTGAGAGAAACAGTGCCAAGGAAAGTAATTTGTGCTGACTCTGAGGAAAATTTAAGTGGCTTCAGAAATTATTCCTCCACAATAGTGAAGGATTTTATTTTTATAAAAAAATAGAATAAAAAAAGGGGGGGAGAGGAAGGACTTCAACAATCAGAATAATACATGGAGCACGGCAATGGTGAAAGAAATTATGTCTAGCTTGCATTTATGTATGTATTTTTTCAGACTTGAACTTGGCTTACATCTTACTGTGGGCCTTCAGGTGACGTTTCCCACACGGGACTATTTCTGTCTTTCTCTAAAAGAAAAAAAAAAAAAAAAAAAAAAAAGGAACGTAATTCAAAGAAAAGAAAATAATTCTGAGCCTTCAAAGATAGTTTCTTTTGTAAAAAAGATTTCAGAAAAATAGGAAGGATTTTAATATAGTTTTCTTCCTGTTCCTAGAAGTCACTATGTTATCTAGCCGGACAATTTTCTATCTGTTTTTAAAAACAAACACAATGTACTTTCTTTCTGTACTCTGCAATAAGCAGCAAATAAAAGTTATAATGTGATTCATTTTAGAGGGGAAAACCAACCTGGAGAGCCCCTTTCATGGGAGATAAATACATGAGCCCTCATGGGCAGGTCTTTTCCACATGTGTTTCTCAAATGCTACTACTTTATAAAAATAAAAAGATCCTTTAGTTTTCTAGAAACCAAATCAATAAGACACGGAATCAGCGTCAGTCAAGAGCCAAGAACTTTGAAGTACTCATGCGTCCCAGCTGGAAGAAACATACCGTACTGCACTTAAACCTAAACACGTGTACTGCACGATACTACTAAGAAATGGACTATGTTAAGGCTCACAAGTTTCTGGATGAAACACAATATTTTCCTGTAATTTCTACAGTGATAGAGAATTAAAAGAAGATATCTAAACTGATGTTTTAATTTTTTGTTGTTTTCTAAAAGAATATGATAGGTATGTTTTTAAAATATTGTGTTTAAAGTTGGTTTTTTGATAGTAGTTGTGGTCGTGAGATGGATTTTCTTCAATACCTGTGCCTAATGGTTCCCTGACATTCTTGAGACAGCTGGACTGGGTGAAAGAAATTTTTATTCATATGAAGGCGATATATCCATATGTGTATGAACCTACGAGACACTCACGCTAGTGTTCTGTTTTGCCCAACCATAAGATTCAAACTAAGTCTGAAATATTTATATTTACTTGGATTTTTCACAATCCTCTTTGAGATGAAAATTCAGCTAAATTTCACAAGAATTTTCTGCTTTGACATACTACTGGAATCAACAAAGACTGAAAGTCAATTTGTTGTTGTCTCTGAAGACAGAGAGTCAAAGAAAGTATTGGTGACAAAACTAAGCAGCCTTTAATTCTCTGTTTTATACTGAACAGAAACCTGGCCCCTCCCCATCTTACTTTCTATAAAACAGAAGGCTGTTTATCTCACAAGACAGAGGGGAAGCAGTTAGAATTCAGCAAGGAATGCGCTTTCTGTCTCTCAAGTTCTGTAGACAAAAACCTTCAACATGAAATTTATGAAAAATAATATGTTAGTCTATAGAATTGCACTTTCAGTTTACTTAGAAATATCCTCTTCTTCCCTTCCCCACTAGATTTCCCACACACACACTGCTGTGCTAGAACCATCTCTTATTAGTAGAGGAAGAAGTGGATGTGGTATTCAAATGAATTCATAGTCCTTGATGAATAAGAAAGATTAATGAAGACCACTGGAGCCATTTGCTCTTGCTTTGGAAAGAAATTAATAAAGTTATATTATTAATGAGAATTATATAAACGTATATTCTATGAAAATAGGAGAGACCTAGTAGAGATCTAACTGACAGAATTTTCTCAGTGAAAAATAGCGTTAGGAGCTAGGGATTTAGCTCAGTGGCACGGGTGCCTGCCTGGCAAGCGCAAGGCTGTGAGTTCGATCCCTGGTACAAAAATAAATGAATGAATAATAAAATAGCTTTAGGGTTTGGGAAAGCCAAGGATGAATAGATTTCAGAAGCTCATAATCAGACTCTCAAGATTTCCAGTTTAGGTGACCATTTTCTTTGTAAAACCACAGATTTTTTTTTTTTTACTTAACTGTCTAATTGATTAATTTCTCTCCTCTCATAATTCAGGTTTTATGCATGCATACAAACACAAATACATGTCACATATAAGTTTGTTAGGGTATTGGTATAATGTTTGAGTTCTGATAACTTTATGACAATCATATTGTAATTGGATCGCAAGTGGAGTCTTAATGTGAGGATTTAAAAATTTTTTTTTGACACAGGCATTGTAGCTGTGGCTTAACCTTCCCTTTTTTGGGGTGTAGGAATGAATCCCAGTGTAGGCTTTCAAACCACATTTCCAAGGACCAAGATATCCCTTCCCAGTAGTACCCTTCCACACCAGAAGAAAACATGTAGAAACTATAGCACTCACTGCTTGCAAGGTCACCTGAAGTTTATTCTCCCTTTGGCTCATCAGCTAATGAAAACCTCTGGTACCTATTGTAACATGCTGGGGACCTTCAGACAAAAGCAGAGTGGTGAGTCAAAGTTGCAGCTCAAGCCCTGAAACACACTTTCCATTAAAATGGACAACAGATGTGCACAAAGGAAAGCAATAGATCAAAGATGTGAACTCCATCTGTGAGGATATTTGCAAACACAAAGTATGCAGGTTTTTTGTTATTTTAAACTTTCATCAATGCAACTTTCTGGGTGGAGGAGGAAATAACATTAAAAAATAAAATAAATGAGGGAGTAGGCAGCTATGGATAAGAAAGAGATTGTATCCATGCAATGGAGTGAGATTTCAAAGAAAGCAATTTAACACACATTTTAAGGACTTTTTTATACAGACACTGATGAGGTTGCTGAGAATTCAAACAGCACTACAAGATGGCAGGGTCTCCACCTTAAGAAGTCCAAAATTCAAAATAGCTGTACTGAAAGAGAGATTTTTGAATTTATAGCTATACAAAGTCAAGTCATGCATTTTATACATTGATACAAGCTATTGATAGTCTCTGCAAAAAATTTGAGTTGTTTACATAGTTACGTAAGAATTTTCTAAATAAAGGAAAGCTGTTGCACAAGAGCTGAAATAATTTGGAAATACTACAAGTAGATTTTCACTTGTATGACTTATTCTTCTCTTGTGCTAGCAGACAGAAGCAGTTTATGGAGGAAGTAGTGGTGAGCACGGTGAGTTTGGAACTTGTGATTTTCCAGATTTAACTGGATTACTGCTTACAACTGTTTGCTACAGCTCTGAACTGGGTCACGTTCCTATACCTTACTGACTAATTCATGATCAGATCACATGTCATATCGCCTTTTATTTGCTGTTTGGCATTCTTAACTCTAAGCAAATATTCATGAATTAGTACTACGGAGCTCAGCCATGACAGTTCTTTGGTTGTAATTCAGAGGTCTTTGTGTGAAAAGTCGGCGTGATTTTTGTATACTTGTTTGCAGTTTTTATTTTTCTAAAGAAATGTAAAGGTTAGCACCAAGAGTCAGCTAAGTCTTAAAATGGCCTGAGAGCCTTAAAACAACGAAGCACAAAAATACAATGATATTCATTGTTTTTTGATGGTGATTAATCAGATATCAGCAAACCAGGTGGAAAACTTTAGCTTTCTGTAAAGTGAGATAATTGGGGAAAACGTAAGCAAGTATTAGGTTTGTCCTTACCTTGAAACTTTTTTATTTTAAGAAATTTTAACTAGATAAACAGTAGTAGGTACTGTTTATTTTAAGATATTGAAAACTTTCTAAGAGTTGTGGAATAATTTAAGAATTTCTTCTTTTGATAAGGATATTTATACAAGGGGAAAAAGGCTATAGTTCATTATACATCTGTAAGAAAATGAGCTATCATTTAAACTTTTCTGCACAATGAATTTACATAATTAGTGAAACTAAATGAAGTCCACATGCTGTTCCAAAGTCTAAATCAGAAAACAAATGACTTATTCTTAAATATTTAGATAACAGGTAAATTTCAATCAGCTTGTTATGCAAGTCACACAAATCATATTTTTATGTCCTGTATTTCTTTTTAGTGGTGTGCATTTGCACTAATTTTATTAAATGAAAGGCACTATCTTAAGAGATTAAATAATTTGAAAGTTTCTCCTAAAATGTTATTGACTCAAAGCTAAGCCACACAATTGAAGATAGTTTTTTTGTTTATCGTAAGTACCAAAGACTAGTAAAAATAGATAGTATACCTAAATAAATAAAAAGAACAACAAACCAGTATTCTCAGATATTAATTTACTTCTATGAAAAAGTAAGTTACATTAAAAATAGCCTGTTTCGTAACATAGCTTCCACAAAATAAATTATTGCAAGTGGCAAGTTTGTGCCTTTATGTAGTATAACTTCACAGATAAATACACTAATTAATTGGAAAGGGTAGTAGTCAATTTTCTTCTTTTATACAATTTAAAAAGACACAAACCATCAGCAAATCAATAGCATTTTAGACTGATCAAATTGTTTTCACATTGAGTAGACAGATTTACTAATAAAATGAATTTAAAATGGAGACCCAGATCACAGAAAAATAGGCAACTATGATATTTATCACTGGAAGAATATTTATCACTGGAGAGGAAATTAGAATGGGAATTCAACTCAGCAATCTAGTGATTTTGATAACTTATAGTAATGAAAGGTGGGTAAATTACAGTTTATACAGCATTTAAAAGAAAATTTAAAAAGACTAGTAGCTTTTCTAGTAGCTTTTCATACGCTTGCCACCATATTTTTTTTAAAAACCTATTTGTTGATAGCAAAATTGTCTAAAATCAATATGATCCATTCACTTCAGCTTCTTAGTCTGATGAATATAGCAACATATTGAAGTGTTACGGTTGTGTCTAGATGTCCCTCCAAAGCCTCATGCAGCCATGGGGTCAGGTTCCTAGAGTTTGTGAGTAACTCACAGTCCAATACTGAGATTATGGGTACAAGTGCCACTCTAGGGTGGGTAGCCTGCATACACTGTAAGGGACAGAAAGCACTTTCTTTCCTACCTTGCTCCACCCTTTTTGAAAAAGTGGCAGAAGAAATTTCAGGGCAGTCGATTGTTGAGATTGTGACATGGTTATTGTTGGAGACTTTTAGCCAGATTTACATTGTGAATCAAAAGCAAAGAGTCCTGCAGGATGATTTAAAATGTGAGTTTGATCAAGATGGAAGCACCAGGGAGGCTGTGGACTGCAAAGACAGAGCTGAGAAGATCTCAATTACTGAGAAGGCACAGGAGAATACAACAGATGGCCAAGTCTCTATCCTTCGGAGCCTCAAAACTTTGTTTTGAGAAGAAAGTCAGAGTGCCAAAATTGTGGTAGCATAGAGAATTTATTCCTTGGAATTGGATTCAGAGTGTTAAGTGATCCAGACACTCTACCCTATCGTCAAGAGAGAGGAAAGGAATGGTAGGACTCCAGCTGGCAGCAGACCTTCGCATCATCTGCACGGTGTTGGTTTTAGGCAGAGCGTAAGAGTTGAGGGATTAAGAAGATTTCAGAAGGTGTTGGCAGCAAGATAGGTTTCCCCTGAAAGGGCAATGTATAAAACTGTGAGTATGAATCTAAAAGTACAGTGGAGACCCCAGAAGTTTGGATAAGACAGGAATACGAGTTGTCTGAGGAAATCTGCAAGGAGACAGTAGAGTAGGCCTAAGAGAGAAATCTTGGGAACCGTCACCACCAGGAGTGCCACAGGGGTGGAGCCACATAAGCCCTTTGGAACTCACAACTTGCCACAGATTGCTTTGGATCCTCCACCTGGAACCACAGGATTTAATGTTTGCTCTGCCAGATTTTGAATTTGCTTTGGTCCCAATCCTTTGTATTCCCCTGTTTGTAACGTTTGGAATGGAAATACCTATCTTGTGCCATTGTATGTTGGAAGTGTCTAGCTTTTCATCCCACACAGGGGCTCACAGCTAAGATTTATTTGCCATAGATCTCAGAAGAGACTTGAGACTTGGACTTTTCAGTAATGCTGAAATTGTTAGAATTTTGGCAACTCCTGGAGATGAACTAAATCTCTTTTGTATAAAGGATGTACATGGGCCTTTGAGGGGCCAGGGGCAGAATGTTATGGCTTGTATCTGAATGTCCCTTCAAAGCTTTGTATGGCCATCAGGACAGACTTCTAGAGTTTGTGATTGACATGGTCCAATCTGGGATCATGGGTGTGAGTGCTACATGCGACCTAGGTTGGGCAGCCTACATATAATATAAAGGACAGGAAGAGCTTTCTTTCCTGCCCACTGTTCCCTTTTTGCCTCTGTTGCTTTTGCTGTTCTGCCACCATGAACTGTGGCTCCCTCCCAGGCTACCTTGCCTTGGAGCTAGTCCAGTATGAACTGAAAGGTTTCCTTCCTTCATTTTGGGTGCTGGGTATTTTGCCTCAGCAATAAGAGAAAAGTAGTCAAGAAGTAGAGAAATAGAGAGAGAAATAGGATCTACTACAAAGGAGAGAAGTTATAATCTGAAATAGTTCCTAACTGGATGATCAGTGCTTGAAAAATCGGACAATAGTTACACATAGGCACCAAAGAGAATTTAGAGTGAAAAGAAGCCCAGAAAATTTTGAGGGCTGTAAAAAAAGGCTTATGCACACAGTAGAGTTCTCCGGTGTAGATGAGATGTGCAGGAAGTGGGGGTTTTGTGTCTGACTCCCACGTGCTCATCAGGGAAATGGCGCACACAGGAGGAGACTGATTGCTTTCCCTGCCCGGTGCTTCATCGGTTCAGTTCCTGATCTCTAAAAGGCAGACTTTCTGCATCTGCAAGTTCATCTCCTGCCATGCGCAGCACTGTGCTTTCCCCTTCAGAAGGATCAAAGTGTTTATGGTTCTTCCTTCCCTGTGTCCCCTTCCTTCAGCAGGAAAGCATGCCAGGCTGTTTCTCAAGAAATTCTCAGCTCCTGAAAAGGTTTCTGTAAGTCACTGCCACTCTTTAATCTTTTAATACATGCAAGCCAGGAATTCTCTGCTTTGGGAAAGCATCTCTGATTGCCATTTCGAGTTAATTACCTCTCTGGGTACCCTGGAAAAGACTGTGCACTTACAAGGTAGAAACATCACCTTAGATTGTCTGTCTCCTCAAACAGCTTCTTCGCATCTCCACTATAAGTATACACGTGTGCTCCTATACACCTGGTAGTTCTTCATCGCCTCCAACTCCTAGCTTGCCACCTGGTGAAATAAACCCCAAAGAACTGAAAGCTATAGTCGATCAATGCTAGTTAAAATGTGTCCACAAATTGCTACCCCAGAGAAAATGGTGTGTTGATGCTCTGTGACGAGCATATAAACTAGAGCAGACTTTTAGAAAATTTTGTTGGAATTGAACATTGTCATGGTATTCAAGCTCATGGCACAACTTACTACAGAGACCTGAGATGAGCTTGACTGCTTTTGATCTTGTTGAGTTGATGATATGAGATGTGTAATCACCGTAAGCAGTAAGAATACATTACAACACATGATAATGTCAGGTCAGACAACTGTAAGTGAAAAACAGGAGCATTTGTTTATTCATATATTTTAAAATCATATTTATAATTAAGTGTATAATTTAATATTAGGTAATAATTATGGAAATTATATATAAATATATGTATATACACACATTTTTAAATACTTGGAATCAAACTCACAAACTCCCATTTGCTGGTCAGGTGCTTGTGCTGTTAAGCTAAATCCTTGGCCTTAAATTATATAATTCATGCTGTATTTCTAGTGTCAGTACAAGTAAGTGAGCTTCATAAAATGAATTGTTTTGATAAAAAGAAATGCTTCATTAAATATACATACCAAAATAAATAAAAGGATGATAATAATTCCAGATAAATAATAACTGCAAGGAATGGTACTTCTTTTACTTGGAATCATGATCCCCAGTGCACTGAGTTCAGCATAGCTTCATTATAAACAGTGTATCATCCAATAAGAATAGATAAGACTATTGTTGCCATAGTTTGCATAAATATGTCTAAGTTCTAGATATTTTGTAGGGTGTACCAAGTTCCTAGTAAGTATTTTTAGTTAAGTACAGAAATATAACCAAGAGAGTCATAAATGAAAAGAAATGAAAGCAGAATTCTACAAAGTCTGCAATCTGATAATTAAGAATTGTGTTGACGGACAGACATAGTACACAAGGTGAGCATAACAT